AACATTTCATTTTTTCTGAAAAGGTGGTGTCTATTTACTTGTGACCACGCTGTGTATAACTATGAATAATGATAATAATTAAATGAAGTTTCACAGCTCAAGTTAAAAAAGCTAAATTTCTCATTTTACTTAGGTATTACACATATTGTTCAACACGAAATTACAAAAAAACTACACAGTCGAGGAATTTGGGTCAAAACAAGCAGCGTTGCTTCAACTTACTACCACTACCAGGAATAGTACTGCTATATAGGCCTAAATATTATGTGGAGTAGGCCTATAAAGTATAATTCTAATAGTATAAGTATAACTCAACTTAAAAATATAATCATGACTGAGTGCATCGTGTGCATAATGGGAGATTGTTTTCTATTTCATTTAAGGGTCCTACTTACCCTGGTTTACTTTGGATTTTAATTCTTTCCTTTTTAATTTGAAGAGGATATGGTTTTATGATTGTAAATGCCACTTGATTGTTATTTTTATGCAAGAGCGTTTGGGAAGTTTCGATAAGGAAATGGGTAGAATTCTCGGCAAGTGGCTTGAATTATTATTATTATTATTATTCGTACTATATATTTACAAATCTTCTCTAATTTAAAAATATTTTGAAAATAAATTAATTATAACGTATCATTATCAACGAACCTTTCCTGTCAAACCCAATATTGCACAATATGTAGTTGACTCGTTGCAATTCCCTTCACGATGTTAAAATGCTCTTTTTTAAAAAAAAGGTAAAACATACATGTAATGTATTGTTGCGTCAGTGAGGTCACGTGACTAGTATCACGCCACTTCTTTCTTGAACCTTCGGGAGATAACTAGATTGGGGGTAGACTGGTATATATAAGATGGTCACAACGTGACGGGGGAACAGTGTAATGAGTAATTGAATGTATGTGACAAAATATTGTTGGCCTCGTGAGACGTGAATTATAGTATTGTTATAGAGCGACTGTTGAAATTAAGTGTATCGTAAAGTTGTATTCCGTAAGAATAAACCAGTTTTATTTAAGAAAGGACTTGTGTCGCTAATGTTTCGTTGGAACAAGTTACGGAAAATTAACTAACGAACGGAGACGTAACAAATTGGTGTCAGAAGTGGGATAAAAAAAAAAATGGAAACGAGAAGCGGCAAATCAAACTACAGCCTAGCAGACTTAATGTCAGCAATACAAGAACAGCAAAAGAAACAAGAAGAACGAGAAGAGAAATTACAACAGTTGTTAGAGGAAAAAGAAAAGAAACAAGAAGAACGAGAAGAGAATATACAACAGTTGTTAGAGGAAAAAGAAAAGAAACAAGAAGAACGAGAAGAGAAATTACAGCAGTTGTTAGGGGAAAAAGAAAAGAAACAAGAAGAACGAGAAG